CCCCCCCGTTACCGGGGAGGAATAAATAACGCGGAGTTACCGGGAGAGGGGAAAACGGGGACCCCCCCACGTTACCAGCGAGGAATAAATGAGCCCCCCCCGTTACCGGGGAAGGGGTAAACAGGGACAGCTCCCCCCCCCTCCCCGGTTACCGGGAGGGTAAATGAGGCCCCCCTCGGTTACCGGGGGAACATTAAACAGGGACGGCCCCCGGTTATCCCGATTTGAGGGTAAACAGAGACCCCCTCCCTCCCCCGGTTACCGGAGGGGCTCTCGGGGCTGCGGCAACGACCTGCCCGGTGGTCCCGGAGCGTGGGAGGCCGCGCAGGGTCCCCCGTCCCCGGGGCCGGGGGGGTCCCGCGGGGGGGGCTGTGGAAGGTCCCCGGTTCCCGGGTGGATCCCCGTTGGTCCCGGTGCTCCCCGTTGCCGGGGGGGGGGTTCCCGGTGGTCCCGATGGTTCCCGGGGGGGGGTCCCGGGTGGTTTTCCCGGAAGGTCCCCGGTGGTCCTTGTTGCCGATCCCCGGTGGGTTTCCCGGTCGGGGCGGCTCCCCCCCTCTCCGCCCCGGGGCCCGGGCGGGGCCGGGCGGGGCCGTGCCGGGACAGGCCGGGACAGGCCGGCGGGGCTGTAACGGAGCAGCCCCGGCCCCGCCGCCGCCGCGGCGCCGCGGCCCCTCCCGGCGGCCATTTACGTGCTTTGAACCTCTCCCGGGGCTGGGAAACACGGGGAGGGGGGGATGGAACAGCCCCGGGGGGGCTCCGGGTGGGGGGGGGGGGGGGGGGGATCGGCCCCTCTCCAGGGGCTCCGCTCCCTCCCCGGGGGGCTTCGGTGCGTTCCGGGGGGGCCGCCGTTTCATCCCGGGGAGGGTCGTTTGGGTGGTGGGTGGGGAGAGGGGAATGGACCCTCCAGAGCCCCCCCCCGGGGGGCTTTTGTGGCTGCCGGGCTCGGGGGGCTCCGGTTTGTGCCGGGGGGGGTGATGTGGGTGCTGGGAGAGGGGGATGAGACCCTCCCCGGGGGGCTCCGGATCGGCCCCGGGGGGGTCACGGGGGTGCTGGGCAGGGGGAAAGGGACCTTCTGGGGGAGCTCTGGTCCCTCCCAGGGGGGCTCCAGTTCATCCCTGGGGGGTCGTTTGGGTGCTGGAGGGGGATGGACCCTCCTGAAGGCCCTGGGGGGGCTCCTCTGGGGACGGTGGGACTCAAGGGGGGGTTGTCTGGGTGCTGGTACTGGGGGGCATCAGACCCTCCTGAGGGGCTCCAGTCCCTTCCAAGGGGGCTCCAGTTTGTACCTGGGGGAGTTGTTTGGGTCCTGGAGGGGGATGGACCCTCCTGAAGGCCCTGGGGGGGCTCCTCTGGGGACGGTGGGACTCAAGGGGGGGTTGTCTGGGTGCTGGTACTGGGGGGCATCAGACCCTCCTGAGGGGCTCCAGTCCCTTCCAAGGGGGCTCCAGTTTGTACCTGGGGGAGTTGTTTGGGTCCTGGAGGGGGATGGACCCTCCTGAAGGCCCGGGGGGGCTCCTTTGGGGACAGTGGGACCAGTCCCTCCCAAGGGGGAGTTGTCTGGGTGCTGGTACTGGGAGGCATCAGACCCTCCTGAGGGGCTCCAGTCCCTCCCAGGGGGGCTCCAGTCCCTCCCAGGGGGGCTCCAGTTCATCCCTGGGGGGTCATTTGGGTGCTGGAGGGCGATGGACCCTCCTGAAGGCCCCGGGGGGGCTCCTCTGGGGTTGGTGGGACTCAAGGGGGGGTTGTCTGGGTGCTGCTCCTGGGGGGGATCAGACCCTCCTGAGGGGCTCCAGCCCCTCCCAGGGTATTCCAGCCCCTTCCCAGGGACTCCAGCCCCTTCTGGGAGGCTCCTCTCCCTCCCAGGGGGCTCCCACAGAGCTGTCACTCCTCGTATCCCCTTTTTTTGGGGGAGAACCCAGCTCTGGATTCCGGGATCCCTCAGGGATCCCTCACCTCACACGGCAACGGGAATGAGCTGCCGGCATTTCCAGCGGGGGATCAGGAGCCGGGATTTTTATCCCCTCCCCTTTTTCCCCTCCCTGGGACATCTGGGCGAGCTGGGAGTTGTGTATTTTGGCAGCAGAGCCCGTCTAGTAACAGGAGACAAACTGTGTTGGGCTTGTTTTGTCTGTCTGACGGCCCCGCCGAGCTCCTTCCCGGGGATCCCAGGCAGGACTGGGATTAGATGGGAAAAGGGGACCATCCCTAGGGATGGGCAGGATCCTCTCTCCGGAGAAATCCCTGCGGCTGACGCCGCTTTCCTTGTGTTCCACAGTTGGCAGGAGGGAGAAAATGAAAGCAGGCTGCAGCATTGTGGATAAACCTGAAGGAGGAGGAGGTAAGGAAGTCGAAAGGCTCCAGTTTTCAGCCATTCCCAACCCTTTTTCCCGGGATAAAGGAGCTCGAGGAGGGTTCATTTTGCCTCTCCGGGGCTGGGGCGAGCGAGGGTTGAGATTTCCTCGGTGGGTTGTGAGGGCTGGGTTGTGAAAATGCCAATAACCCCCCCCGGAGATGGATTACCTGGAAGGATTTGGGAATTTCTGAGGGCTGGGTTGTGAAAATGCCAATAACCCCCCCCGGGAGATGGATTACCTGGAAGGATTTGGGAATTTCTGAGGGCTGGGATGTGAAAATGACAACAAACCCCCGCCTGGAGATGGATTACCTGGAAGGATTTGGGAATTTCTGAGGGCTGGGATGTGAAAATGCCAATAAACCCCCGCCTG